AGGAGGTAGCCATGTTAGTCTGTGCAAACATATCATGCAAAATTCAAAGAACAAAAAACATGTGGCACCTTAAAAACTAATTATTATATTTTGACAGAAGCTTTCATGGACACGTCCACTTTGTCAGACATATGGAAACAGAAGGAAATGTTGAATGAAATATCAATTTCACAAGTAGAACATCCTACATATTCATTGTCTCTTGAGTGTATGATACATCTACATGCAGTAATCTAGCCTATGTTGTTTTGGGGTGCTGTTATAAACAATCATCCCTCCAGGAGACAGAAAACAGGCACCGGTCCTGAGTAAAGATGAAAGGGGGGGGGGGAAGAGAAGCGAGAGGAGGGTTGGGTGGGGATATTCAATCCATTTATATGGGTATCCATCATGCAACCGGAAGCTATCCTTGGACTAGTTTCCATCACCCCAGCTATTGTCTGTGCAAATGGGAGTTAGAGTCTACTATACCTTGAATGGGTTGGTTACCCGCTGTTGCCTTGAGCTTCCTTGCCTTGGCCTATTGGCTATGAATAATCTGCCAGCTGCCTGGAGTCACTTTTAACTAAAGATTGTAGCAAAAGGGTGTTCTTACCCCAAAGGACAGACACAGATTTTTCTTCTGAGGAAAGAGAACTTGAACATGGACTGGAGAAAGGGGAGCTCATGCTGGTGAGTAACAAGGCGTGGGTGGATCTAGGATAAGAAGCACAAAGAGAGACAAATAAACAGCTAAGAACGCCATGTACCGGCCCCCCCCCCCCCCAAGATAGCACAATAGGCCACCCTAGTATATTCAGTCTTCAGGAAAAGGTTTAGTTCTCTTGCAGGAGATAACTCAAGAGCAGGCCCAGTCAGTGACACAGTGGCTAACATCCTGTTGCTTAACACAGTAAATTGCACTAGAGCCATTGAATTGAATCAATGAGGATTTGGTGAGCCAAATCCATAAATACCACTAATTCAAATGGGCCTACTCTAGTTACCACTTACTACACTGAAATAAGTCTCAACTAGAGCAGGTCCTCTTGAATCAATGGAACGTACGCAATAGTTGACTTACCAACTCCCCATGTCCTCTAGATATGTTATGCTGTGTGCTCTTATGTTGCTTCTCACTTACGGTGAGGTATGGGAGATGTTCCAGGAGTGGTTTACTATTGCTACTCTTCCCCCAGTGAGTTCCCATGGTAAAGTGGGGTTTGAACCCAGTTTTCCTGAGTCCTGCTTCAAATGTTCTACCCACAGTCATTCCCATCAGCCCTAGCCAGTGAGGGATGATGGGAGTTGAGATCCATTAGCTTAAAAAATACTGTTCCTTGTGGAGGTAAAAAGTATTATTTTAGGAATTGTCTCATGACAACCACCCTCAAACCTTTTCTGTGCCGCCAAGCCAGTGCTGCTTTGCCCCAGCTGGTATTTATATTTTGATTTGTTGTTGAGTTGTTGTTGTTGTTGTTGTTTTAAAAAAGGTCTGCTTAGTGAAAACTCTGGCTTCTGCTTTGGCATAGCCTGCCTGGGTGTGGGTGTTACAGTAACCAGCCTGGCAATTACCATACTATGAATTAGGAAGGAGGAAAACAGCATTCCATCCAAGTATAAAAGATATCTCACTTCAACTTCTAGTGAATAATACGATATCGCTACTTAGCTAGGTATGCCTCATCTACTTCTAAGAGAAAGGGGTTAGTGGAAACTTAAAGTTGTTTACATAAAAAACTTTAGTAGCTTAGTCTTAATAAGGTAGCTTTTATGCAGAAACTCATTAAGTGAGTTTGATATTAAGTGTATCAGTACTTCATGCTTTTTTATTGAGTCCTGATATACCAGCTGCTATATAGAACCCCATTATTGAAAAGGAGTTCTTAGAAACATCTCAGAACTGAGGAAGCAACTCATTAAAATGCATTTCATTCTTCTCTCCCTTTCTTGCCCTCCTCACCCCATAGGACTCAAGAGAGCAAATTAAATTAATTCAAATGAAGCCTGAAGCAGAAGTGGAACAGGTTGCGGACAGACCAAATTAAAACAGGAAAATCATTCATTGTACCACACTAAGACAAACTAAAAATTGATAGCCTAATGTCATTGGAAGCATGATTGCTAATCATGGTGAGTCTATAATTCATCTACAAGAGATCCGGCGCCAGAGGAACCGATATTTTAGAAAACGATGCTTAAATAATAATCTTCATATAGCTACTTACAGAATTAGTAGAGTATGAAAACATGAACAGTTTCTTGGAAAGGATTTCACCCTTTATCCTTTCCAGGCCTTGGAACCACACCCGTACCTTCTTAAAGACCTCTTCCTAACAGTTGGAATAGCTACTTCTTGAACTACAGCTCCCAAAGTTTTTCAGCTGGCTAGTGGATTCCCAGAGCTGTAGGTCAAACAGCACCTGTTCTATGTGACCTTGGCTGCCAGATGGGTGGGATGGATATATATGAATATGAATGTAAAAACTCCTGTCCTTTAAAATGGGAGGTCCATTCAACCAAGAGACTTAGTAAAGGAAACCTGGAAGCTGATACATAATTGGGCCCAGGAAAAGATAAGAACTTAAGGGAAGAATTATTTCCATGGTGAATCAGTGCTCACTAGAATCCTTTGATGATATTTAGATGATCGGACGATGGCGAAATCTCTGATCTATACGGGTAGTATCAATTTTTAGTTTTTGATGTTTTTTTATTATTATTGTTAGATTTTTATTGTTTTTAGTTTGGTATGTTAGGTATGTATGAATAAAAGAAACATTTTAAAGGTCCCTGAGGTGGTCATCCAACCCAACTGTTCTGAGTAGCAGGAATGTCAGCACTCTGAGCATGTGCAGAGTGTCTTTTCAGGAACACTGAGCAATCTCAGTGATAGCCCACTGAGGCAAAACTGCACATGAAGCCCTTCCGACCTGCTGAAGTCAAAATGCAAAGTAGGATTGCCAACAGATCAAAATAAAAATCCGTAAGTAAAGCCTTTCCTAGCACAAATAAGAGAGAAATCTGTAGCCCTCCAAATGTTGCATTCCCATCAGATGTGCTGAACTATAACTTTAAACTTTGATTAATGGGAGTTGTAGTCAATGACTAAGATCAATTATAAATTGTCTTCATTGCTGCAGACATGCTATGTGTAAAGTCCCATCCAACCTATTATGATCCTAATAAGACTTTCAGGGCAAGCATGGCCAAATGATTTGAGCCCATCTATTCTGAATTCTAGTCCATCACTCTATCCATTAAACTACGCTGGGTACCACAAATTGCTTCAAGGCCAGTGCAGAAGCTATGGCTTTAATCTACATAAATAATAAGCAATAAATCTTTTTCTCCTTAAAGTCTTCTCTTCATATTCTTTAGGGGGACTGGGATTAATTTGCTTCTTGATGCATCCATCTGGACATGTGTTAGGTCTAAGCCAACCAGATTGTATGAAGCAATCTTCTCCTGTAGAAACCCCATAGCATTTTGAGGTATTCCATAATAACATCCAGCAGATGGCAGCACGAGATCGTTCTTAGTAGGTTGACCAAAGCAAGGCAGGTCAAAGCATGGAGTAGATGCCCATCTGCAGCTTCAAAAGCATGTTTTAACCTCTTTTTCTCTGCTCTTGTTTGCAGAGATGAAAAGCCTGCATGCCACCTTCCGCTTTATTTCAAAAGCTCTTTGCAAGTGATTAATTCAGGCTACCGCACGAGGTTCTTTGGGGGCTGGGCTGGGCTGGGTGAGAGGGATTACAAGCTGCAGTCTTGCAGAATCTCATAGTCAGCTTAGCCACTGGCAAAAAGCAACTTTTAAACATCTCTTCCACAGAAGTCTACTATATGAAGAGGAAAAGAGAAAAGGCTGGTCTGGTCCTCTGCTGGTTTCAGCCCCACCTGCTCTTTTCTAAACCAGTTCCTGTCAGGTGAGTTGTATGGTTCCTAGCACTCAACAGTCAAGATGGACTGGGGATGATGAAAGTCGCATAGTGGGAACAAGGTTAGGGAAGACACAATATCACTTAACACACTGGTTCTTAACCTTTGTTACTCAGATGTTTTTGGACTGCAACTCCCAGAAGCCTTCACCATCAGCTCTGCTGGCTGGGGTTCCTGGGAGTTGCAGTTCAAAAACACATGGGTAACAAAGGTTAAGAACCACTGACTTAACAGAATCAGGGGGCGGGGGAGGCAGTCAGTTTGAGCTTTTAAAAGATGTACTTATGAAATGTACATGGTTTTATCCCAATGCTATCAGATCCGTTGATACTCTCAGAACTAAAGAAATGGGATTGAAAAAGGTGATAAAGTGGATAGATGTTGCTTCCTGTTAGGTATTCAACTGGAGAGGGGGGGTACATTGCACCCCCTTCCTTGCAGCCTACAATCCACCTTGATCCAACCACCGTACAAGAGAACCTGAAAGTGGGCAGATGGCTCTCTAGCTGTTAAATTCCCTTGGCTCTGCTTACTACCCATCAATATATGGAGATCAGACACTCGATTCTTGGGCTGGAGAATTTAGGAGCAAGGACACAGGAGCAAGCAAAGCTCCCACAGTCCTCACGTTAGCAAAATGATGTGAACATCTGTCCGTGAGCATTTTGAGGTATCCCTGAAAGGCAGAATGGGGCTCAAAGCACAAGGAGCCATAGATCAGCATGGTGAAACCCAACCTCTGCCATTCCTGGTTCCACCAATCAGGGAGCAGAGAATGGAAAAGACTACTTCACTAAGAGAAAACAGCGGTGGGGGAAAGTTACTTTTCAAGTGACGACTCCAAGACGTTAGTTGTTGAATGACAACATCCCAACCAGGAGGGCCACGCTTTGTACTGGTTAAGATATATTAGCCTACCTGTCAAAAATGTGCCCTTTCCTAGCTCTGACAAGAGTGGGCATCATCCATTGTAGTAGCGTTCACTCTTATTATGTAGTAGTCATGCATATTCATATTGCAGGCTAATATTGCTAAGAGGCGGAGCCGAGAGATATGTAATAAAGAGGCGGAGTCAGAGGCAGTCAGAGAGAATCAGTCAGAGTCAGAGAGAATGGAGAGACAGAGTGTGGTATCTGGGAGATCTGAGGTGTGATCAGAGTGAAGAGTAAGAACTGTTATGACAAATAGAAGCTTGAGATTGATGATAATAGAAGTTACCTATGATTAATAATCAAACATCTGTAATCAATAAACAAGTTTTATTTAAAAGACAGTGAAGTTTGGACCTGCACCTTCATCCTTCCATAATTAATGTTGATTCAGTGATCAACTGGTGGCAGCGGGTAGAAAAGGAGTATGAGTTTGCCTTCGTGTGCTCTGTGTCTGAAGAGTCAGGCAAAGGGCACGAGGGGCGAACGTCACATCCATGTATCTTAGGATAAAGCAGCTTTGGCCGAGAGATGATCTCAAAAGTCTCAAGCAGAGAGCAGAGCTGTTGGGCCAACACTTTGATCAACCCCAACGAGTCCATGTCTACTTGGGACTAGCAATGGCAGGCTGGCATTTCTGTCTGTTTATTCCTATCCAGGAGAAGTCACTAGGTAACTCTGAGGGCCCATGGTAGAACATCTGTTTCTATGGCCTTTTACATATTTTGGTCCCACAGAAGATGTAAACAACTCCCCCCACTGAGTTATATTGTGTGCTTAGACTGCTCTGCTGCTGTGAGTGCTGTTGCTCTTGTTCCGTGCCATCAAGTCACCTCCAACTGACAAA